CAGTTTTGCCTAAATAAAACTTAGTAACCTAAAAGACAATATATCAGTATAATATATTTTATCCAGCATTTGGGGTGGGCGAACTTACACATTTAAAAACAGGAGCAGCAGTTATTCCAGTATATACACACTCAACTATAACATCAAGACAGTGCAGGAACACATTGCTTGTCTGTGTAGCTGTATTTAACAATATAATGCAGCTTATTTAAACTGCAGTGAGTTCACTTGTGAAAATGGGAAGATAATATAATCAGTTGTACCCATTTGACAAAGATGAGCTTCTCTAACCTGCATTGTGTATATACAGTGTGATGCCATTTTGTGTAGCATTTTTAATGCTGTGTACGGTCAGCCATCATTCTCACATCAGGAATGCTGTGTAGTTTTAAAAGTACCACTGACAGTATCCTCTTTTTGGTTTTTTGTTTGTTTGTTTTTTCTTTGTGATTTGGTCCAACCTCTTTTCCAGTGTGTGCAGTGCTACGTGTGTTAACTGTTTCTGAACTTGCATAGCAGCATGTGCTATGCAACGACGTGCATTCCCTGAATCCTGCAGCCTTGTTTAGGCTCCAACCTGATGCAACACTTCAACTACAAATGCAGAGATTACTTCTTAGCATCACAAGCTTCTGGACATGCACATGCTTCTAATTTCACAAGAGAAAGCTTGTTGATGAACTGATTTTATGTTGGTTTGTTTTGCTTTCAACATCTGTTTTTCTTAGTGTCACAAATCCTTTGAGAAAACCATCTTCATGCAAATCATGGAAAGGATTTACAGTTTTTCACAGAAGCTCTCATCCTTGGTTCAGTAATTCCTTACTATATCCCGCTACTGATAACGAGAAAGACCTGCAATGCATTCCCTCAGAGTGAAGGCGGATCAAGTCATCATGAGGTTTCCACTGCAGTTTGAGAGGAGGGTTTTGAACAGTGCATATGCTGGGGACTTTTCTTCCAGAGTGAAGGGCCAGTGGAGGCATCTCAGTGTGTTACTGTGCTACAGACTGTTGTCTGAAGATTGAAGCCTCTCCAACAGGACATGAATGTACTAGTGTTTGGGCTTGAAAGAGGGCGTGTCGTATAAGCATTGTTCTCCACTGTCATTTAAAGCCTTGCCTAGCAAAAAGCACTAGTTATGTGGCCCGTTTTAATGCTGAGCCAAAGAACGACCCAATACCATCAACTATCTGTTTTCACTCCGTGCAATAATTTACCATATCAGTGTGAAGCAGCTTCACTGAAGATCAACTTATAGTTGCTTCACAGTCCATCAAAATTCAGTTGTCAAAAAACCCAAACATGTTACAAAATACTGGGGATACATATGACAAGTACTGCACTGCATGCAGGATGACTTACAGGGTGCATTACATGGTTATTTTTGAAATCTTGCACCATTTAAATTAAAATCATAGCAGGAATTGCATTTATCAAAGGTGGATTAGTGAGTTATCTTGCTACCAGTTGCACCTAAATCTGATTAGATTGGAGATTGCTATTTATAACTTAGTTTAAATGTCACCAGACTAACAGCAGTCAGATGTGTTTAGCTTTGTGTCTGGAACAGGATTTGACAGGTTTTGGGTCTCACACATGAGGAGAAACACATCACCAGCTCACAAGTTGTGTCTTAGAGTAAAGCTGTCCAGCATAGCAAAAAGGACTCCTGTCATAAAAATGTCATACATCCTCGATGCACATGCGCACACACTTCCACACACGTGCAAACATACATGCATTAAGCAGCATATACATACACAATACACACAGGTTCAAATGCATAATCCACATTATCAGGTTAATATTCTGAGGGAAAACATCTCCATCACCCAGTGTGTATGAGTTGTGTAAATGTAACAAAAAAACCACAAAAAAAATGCAAGTGATTGACTATTAAGACAAAATGTAGTGTTATACATGTAAATGTGTTTCATTAAATAACAGCAATGGAAAACATATTAAGTAATAGGTACCATATTGTATGAATTTTATTGCAATGGAATTGTCAGTGTATCATAAAAGCGTGACGTTACCCCACGCTGTCAGATTTGTATATGATGATGTAATTTAAAGATTATATTCTATTGTAACTGTACAACTGTGTTGAGTTGAAAATGAGACCTAACCATGTTGAGGCAGTAAAAAGGTGTACATGTAAAATGCTTTTTTATGTTGATCTCTTCCTTATGCACACAGGGGACAGCAGCTCATGTTGTGGAAACCCTTTATTAGCGGTCTAGAAGATGTATGTTCATAGTTAGTGATGTACTTTTATCTCCTAACTGGTGTAGTGCCTGTTCATCTTGATGTAACAAGTTCATTTAAATATGCATAAAGATGATTATGATCACAGATAATGACGATAGTGATGAAAAACCCAAATCAAATTTGTTGTGATGGTGTCAATATTGCGATATTGGTTTGAAAGGGAAACAAGTTTGTTGACAAAAAAGTAGCCTCTGTGTGTTTTTTTTGTCTATAGACAGCATGATTTGGAGTTATTTGTTATTAAACCATTAATTTAATTTATGGCACTTTATAATAATGTCACGCTACAAGAAATTAGCAAGGTATTAGCAAGTTCTTAATTCATCATTTATCATTACTCCGCTTTATTATGCTATCTATAAATACATATATGTTTATCCATCTGTTACTGTTACATCATTTACAGCTACCACTGCTACGACATCACTGGTAGTAATAATCAGAATCATCGTCGTAGTCATAATATTATATCTGTCTTTATAAATGGCATACTAAGGAGGAGTAATGCTATATGATGATGAATGAAGCACTTGCTAATACCTTACTAATGCTTAATAGTGCAACATTATTATAAAGTGCTAAAATGTATTTATTTTTATTGTAGAGCATGGGAATAAACCATGCCATATCACTGACACATAAAAAGTGCTATTTATCAAGACTGGTTTAATAATAAAACATTTCCTAACTTTGAATTAAATATACCTGGATGGGAATATTAGAAAATGCAATTCTAAAACTAGAGGGGCACTTGAAGAGCCAAGGCCAAAGAAAGAGCCACTGACTGGTTCTTTTTTTTAGCCCACTAGGCACTTTTTACATCGAACCTTGGAAAAACAGAAAGCATCTACCTTCAAAGATCACTAAGTTCCACTTTTAATAAACTGAACTATTTATTTAGTTCATCTTTTCTAAAGGTCTTAAATTAAAGAATGATACATTATAAAGGAGATTAGTTTTATGTTTTAAAGACAAATGACTTCATTGCTGCATTCATCACCTTAATGGGGAACTTCCCGGAATGGAAGTTAGCAGAACGTTAGAGAGATCACCGGATCTACCTGAGACAGGTGTGCCATGCCCTGGTTATGCTATACATGAAAAGGAGACCTGATACTGCTACACTGCAAGCTGAGCAGTAATGCCGCTCCGGGATCTGACTGTCCAACACTCAGGTGGATCTTTTGTGGATGTGTTATGCTGATTTTCAAGCACATCTTTTTAATTCTTGGACTCCAAACAAGCATTTTAAACTTTTCTCCTTTTCTTCTCATTGGCCCTTCATAAATAAACTCACTGCAGCTACTTCAATTACTTGTAGCGACTATTTTAACTTTAAAAATGACAAATGTGTCTGATAAATACATTTCAGCTCTCCGAGGAATTCAGAGAATTTCTGAATGTCATCAGTAGTATCATCCAACCTATGTCACATGTGTTCACAAAACACCAAGACTTTAAAGAAAATTATATTTATATATGCGTTATATATAAATATAGACCGTTATGAGGGTTAAAGAAGAATTTTCTGTTCTCTTTTTTTCAGTTAATAATCAGCATTTAAAAATCTGTCACAGATGGAAAAGCCCTTTTAAGATTTATGATGAAATCACCAAGTATTAGCCACATTTTCGTTCCTTGTACATACGTTCACTAGTTACACCTTGCTAGCACTGGGTTGGACAAACATTTGCCTTCAGAGCTACATTAATTTGTCATGTCATAGATTCAACAAGGTGCTGGAAATATTCCTGAGGGGTTTTTTTTTTAATCTTTACACTTTCTCATAGTAAAACATACAGCCACCATCATAACAGCCATTATTTAAAGGTTTAATTTCCTTTCTTGGAATCTGCTAGTGAGTCGCTTCATAAAACCATGAAAAGCATGACCACACAGGCTTTCATTTTCACTGATAATTTAATCATACAAACATTCATCAAACATACCAGAAATAAGCTTTCATCTGTTTGCTTCTCACTCACCTAAATGTGCTGCTGTTTGAGTCTAATGCCAACTGATTCATTCTGCAATTCATTTTGGCCAGTGGAAACTTTGCAATATTACATTAAATTGACAATAACTACCTCTGATAGCAAGATAAACATTAATCTCTCTCTTTATTAACAGGAAATGCACATTGTTCTAAGCAACATTTAGATCTCATGGATCCTCAAGTGTCAGCTGAACGGTGTTCTCACGTTAACTCTCATCAGGTTACAGGCCTCAACATAAAAGGATATGACAGGGATCTAACACACAGCATAAAAAAAAAAAAACACACCTTCTTACCAAAGAGAAAAGGTACACTGAGGCCTTGCCATTGGGGTTCATTACTCAGTGCATAGATTAGCAAGTAAGTAAATGCTGAATAACATTTCTTTAAAAAAAAAAAAAAGGATATGAATCAGTTATTTGATTGGTGATAAAAAAATCAAAAAAAAAATCAAGCGTGTGATTAAATGAGAAATATCAATGAGACCGTTTGTAGTCTTTTAAATGGAACTTCTCAAACATAAATTTAACGAGATGAAAACCAACAATAACATGAATAAAACTGACAGTTGAATGAAAATATCCCATTAAGAATCTTTGGGTAAATTTATGTGTTTCCAAAAGAATTTTCCCCTTCTACATTCATCATTTACATTCAACTTAATATGTTAAAAACATTTCCAAGACAGCTTTAAGTTGAATTTGAAGCAGTAAACAAACAACCAAACGGATTCATAATGAGAAATTATGTCTTTACTTCTGTTTATATGACTTGAATTACGCATCTTATACTTTGCAGGAATCTAGTTTTTTAAAACTTTTTATGAATTAATGTATGAATTAATGACCCAACTATGAAGTCAGGAACATTTACCAATAATACAAAATAAATTTATGTCAGAAAATATTTGTAATTAATGTATGAGACTTCTGTTTCTCTGATCTTAGCTTCAATTTGGCCGATTCCCTCTTGTTTAAATAAGCTGCACTGTTTCTAAACTTCCAGCTAACGGCTTACAAAATACTGGTCATACTGTATGTGGCATGAAAAACACAGTTTAGACTTATCTAACCTTCAAATAAGCTTTTGGAAAATATTGTTTCTTTAAAAATGCATAAATTATGTTTCAGGAATTTAGTAGTCTAGACAACAAAGAGTCCACAAACCTAATCAACATACCAATAAATCAGAGTAGAAACCGGAGAATCAGTTGGCAAAGTGAATGGCTTTTCCTCCAAATTCTCTTTTTTCATGTTGCACAATCCACACACAAATACACAAACATTCACACACTCCTGTCATCTGTTTAATGGGTACTCTGACTGCTAAAAAAATTATTTTTTTTTGAAAAATAAAAGAAAAAAGTTATCACTCAAAAGACTCATAGCACTCATTTTTAACTTAGCATTCACACGTGCATACAGTGGGTGCAGGATGTTGGTTGAGCTGCATGTCAGGAGCGTTGGCCTCCGGATATTCAGTCTAACTGGACTTTGCATAAAGTGTTTTTGAATCTCCACACTCTCCACTCTCTACTGACGAACCTCTTCTTTCTTTTGTTGGTGTGACAGACTCCAGAGGTATGATTTTAGTGCTGCTTCACTCCTTCACAAGTCCCATGATTTAAGAGTGCCCAAATGGATAGGGCTCCTGTATACCCTGCAACAAAGAGAAAGGATTAAAAAAAAAAAAGTAGTAGTAGTAGACCAACAACAGACAGAAAACATAGCTTCACAGTTTACAGTCACTGCAACTAATTCAGTGATTGTTAGCAACTTCCAGCACCCACTCAGCAAGGGCATCACCAACTAATCTCTACACCTGTGTGACTAAGGGCGTAGGGTATTTCCTGTTTAGCAACTGCAAACATTAAAAGTAGATTTTAAAAGGTGCTGACATGAGCAGAAAAAGTCCAAACTATTGAACTTGCTAAACAGCAGCTTTACAGATTTTCGGTGTCTAAAGTCTATATTTTTCAGTATAGCTACATTAGTCTGTGCCATACCAACAACAGCATGGAGCTGTCCTGGCCAACACTGCAAAATTACAGCTGGTAAACTTTGCATTTAGTTCTAATACGTGCTCTGAGCACACCACCACTCGGGATAATCTATTAAAAGCAAATGTTGACCTTTTAATTTTGTCCACAGAAGATTCAGTGTGATTCAACCCTCATTAACATGCACAGACAATGTTGTGGCTCTGTGATATGTCTCACCTGGTTGCAAGAGACTACTGATAGATTGCTTTGTAGACTATTTGCTAATATATCCACAGAGTTTTGTGAAAGTCCATTCTGGTCTTGCTGCAGCTGGTTTGGGCTTCCCTCCCAATGTTCCTCTGCAACTCTATGGTTGCTGTCATCGTGAAGGCTGTTGTTGTTGCTGTTAGGGCACTTGTTTTTCTCTGGTGAGGCGAAGGGGTTATAATCTCCTTCCAGGTTACGATGAGGCTGGGTGTTGAACTCAGCTTGAAAAGAGGAAAGCTGCTGTGTGACACCAAGGAGGCCTCCAACCTCCACACTCAGGATCACCCAAATTACATCTGTAAATAGACAATGGTGTGCTTAAACATAATCATAGAGTTGAGAACATGTAACTAAACCTGTGTCTATATGCAGGATATTACCCAATACCCATAAATCAAACGGTTACAAAATATTTACTGTATAATAATTAGGCTGGACTACACTTCACACCTTGTATCCTCAAAGACTTAATGTGATTCTGATCTGCAGCCCTCTTCTTACTCCTTAAGTCAGCATGAAACTATTTTAGGTGGGAAATAATTGTGATGAACAGGTGGATGAAATATTAAAGCCCGGTGTTTAAATTCAACATCCCTCTCCAGCTTAATTTGTAAGTAGAGAAGTCTTTAGAGACATCCTGATAGGACATAAATCAATTAATTTAATGATAAATAATTAATACTTTTATTGCAGCACATCCATACAAAATGATCTAGCACTTCATCTTCATTAATGAAGATGAAGTGCTAATAATTCCCTGTTACTGTGGCACGGCACATTGTACAGTGTAGCGAAATTAATGGGTTAGCAATGTATGGTGATCCTAATGTCCGAGCTGTTAGCATCCCAACCGTGGGTCTCGCTTTACCTGCCTAGATCACCATGGTAACTAATGGTAAATGCATAGTCTAGTCTTGTCTGGAGTAGGTTATACACAGCGTTTCCATCAGCAAAAGGCCTGAGATAACAAAGAAAGCTGATAACCACTGTCGAAACACCATTATCTCTGACTATGGTTTTAGGTTTTGTAGAGTCAACACAAAGTAAGCCTGGACGACATGTATAATTCAGCGTCAGCAGCTTACGTAAGCCATGAATCACAAACAAAATGTGACTAATTTAATTAACTGTCTAATGACAGGGTTGTTGTGTGCTGTGTAAAGCCGCTTGAGGCAAAACTGTAATGTGATATCAAGGTATATAAATAAGATTTACTTGATTTGAACATTTTTTTTTCTGTGTATACATAACAAAGCCCAAAAACCCCAAACAAAGGCACTCTACAAATAGCTTGACTTATCTGTCTAAAAGTCCAAGACCAAATAAGATTCCAACAAAGCTCTGAAGAATAACCATCTGCGTAGCAGTGCTTCAACCACAGTGCTTCCACAATAGAATTTAAACCTTGAACAGTAAGTTAGCATGACAAAAAGATGACATTACTTCATTAGAGTCACTTTGACTTTTTATTCAAGAAATTCCATTTATTGAAGATAACTTACTTGCACCTTAGGTAAGTTATCCCCCAGCTGTAGGTCTATTAATGTCTTCCTACACAATATTTCTAGTTTTCTCTCTTTTTTGTACCAGCTGATAGGGCTGTGCAATATGACCAAAATCTCATATCCCAATATAATACATCTATCGTCCTGATAACGATATAAATCACAAAAATTTAACATTTTCTGTAAATTCTGTGAATCTCGGGTAGCTCGACTTGCGTGAAGTGTTTCCAGCTGGGCGTCGTGTACCTGGAGTCGAGTGTTTTAACCGATGCATGAAACGATACATTTTTTGACATAAGCTGTAACGGCCGCCGTTTTCTTCGTGAGTATTTATTACACAACGTGCTGCAGGGAAAAGCCTGTTCTAACGTTTGAGTCTAAGGTTTATTTTTTAGCACCTGACGGCTCTTTTTTGCTTCTCATCCGTAAATACTCTGCATACTCTTTCACGTGATTCAGTTTATTTTGAAAAGTCTCAACAGGATCTTGAGCTTTATTGTGAAAGGTTTATGTGGAAAATAAACAAGCGGACACGCGATGGTTTTACCATCGTTGTTGGTAATGACAACGCATAAAAACAGGCGCTTGTCCATCCATAGTGTGGTTATGAGAAAGAGAGAACTTTAAGAAATTAATATAGCCACTACAGTGACGATTAAAACGATGAAAAAATATTGCCGTAAACAGTTTATTTTGCGACACCACGAAACAAACGATAGAGTAAAATGAAACGATAAATGTTTTTATATCGTCATCCGATATATATCGTTATATCGAACAGCCCTAGCAGCTGATATATTACTTATGACTCCAACCCCTTGTTTAGCTCTGAAGGAAATCCCCCTAATCCTATGCCATCAGAATCAACCAGGAAACACATTTTGGCTGTCTTATAGCAAAAACATTTAAAAAAACAAAACAAAAAAGAAGTTAATAAATAAATAAATGGAGTTACTTATCATAAAAATTGAGTTACTTATCATCACGATAAGTAACTCCATTTAACATTTTTTAAGTAAAGTTGTAGTTCTCACCTCCATAGAAAAGTCCGGTAGCTGTGCACATTCTCCATTGGCCCTGGTACATACCCGGAGATACAGGACTATGCATCTGCACACTGACATCAGTCATTTCCTGCGGGTCTAGAGAACGCACCATCACCATGTTTATGTGGCCGAACTGATCTCCTCCAACATACTTCAGAGAAACTCCTGGAGGCCATGACTCTGCACCTGGAAGACAAACAGACAATTTTGCTTGTTACGAACTGTATTCATGTACGATATAGTGATTACTAACCAATGATCAGCTTCTATTTTAGATCAGTATTGAATGGCAGGCTGCTCAACCAACTACCTCATTCTTTTGGAATATTTTTATATAATGTGCCTTGGTTGGCTAGAGGCAGAGCTGCAGCATTTAAATAAACAAGTGATTTGCTGTTGCTTGAAAAGTTACATTTTTTTCCCTAACATTTTTGACACAAGAAAAGCGAATCAAAAGCGCCACAGTTCAGTTATGTAACACGTAATGCCACCTTATTTAAATAAATTGAGATTTGTTGAAAACACAATAGGGCCTTTGCACAGGATGCCATGTGCACGGTGCTTGCAGTTGGATTCAATATGCTGTTTGCTGGGAGCGCTGAAGGACAGAGCAAAATAGGCACTTTTCAAAACTTCCTGTGCAATATCTGCATGTCTTTTCCTATGTACCTCCACAGGTTTAATACAGCTGTAAAGCTATTAGGAGGATGATATAAGAAATGTAAACTGGCCTTACACACAGGTCAGCCTACAAGAAGAAACAATTTCAGGCAGTCATTACAGTGTTTTAGCCCAAATTCATATCTGTTAAAATATGACCACAGTGTCTTTAAGCACTCCCAGGTTGAGTGCTGCGGTTTGTCCAGTGACAAATTGTTTTGCCAATGAAATCAATGGGTTTGAGAGCACAGCGGTGCATGCATTTTGCAGCCACTTATAATGACACTTTAGTATATCTGCGGTCAACAGACTTCAGTCTATGGCTGTCACTGTGTTTATGTGCATGTCTGAGTGATGCTGATGAAAACACAGTTATACTCCACTTGACAACAACTCTCTAGCCAACTAAAGGTAAAATAATAGCTCCCAACAAGTGCTACTCATCTAAAGCCAAAACTGGACAGACCAAAATTAGTCTCCACTGCAGACAACCCACCCCATCAAAGCAGTCAACCATTGGGAAATACTGTTACCGGTACTCTTTTATTTTCCAACACAAGTGATATTCTTATTCTAGCTGACTTACCGGTGTTCTGTATCCTCCAGGTCTTTGTGAAAGGTGTGTCAGGTGGAACGGATTCACCCTCACCAATCGTCACATCCTTTACAAAGGACATGCAGGGTGCACTGATGTTGGGACTTTCGAAGTCATAATAGGCTCCAATGGCTGCCTGTAAATTCCTAAGAATGAAAAAACAGAAATTTGAGTAAATCTAAATATTCACTTATAATACAGTTGCAGAAGTAACGCCTCAGTTTTTACAGCTGGTTGATAAATGATTCTACAGGCTATAGCCGTTCCACACATCCATCCATCCATCCATTCGCTTCCGCTTATCCTTTTCAGGGTCGCGGGGGGCGCTGGAGCCTATCCCAGCTGTCATAGGGCGAGAGGCAGGGTACACCCTGGACAGGTCGCCAGTCTGTCGCAGGGCCAACACACAGGGACAGACAACCATTCGCACTCACACCTAGTGGCAATTTGGATTATCCAATTAACCTATCCCCACAAGCTGCATGTCTTTGGACGGTGGGAGGAAGCCGGAGTACCCGGAGAGAACCCACGCAAACACGGGGAGAACATGCAAACTCCACACAGAAAGACCCCGGCCTGATGGGGCCTGAATTTAACCTTCACACATGTGAAGGTTAAATTCAGCCATTTGGGGGTTTGTTTGTTTTTTTGCTTTTTTTTTCCATGCTTCATTTAAAGTTAGTAATTGTACACTGACAAAAATCATCCCCATCATCAGGCATCACAAGGAGACAGATCACGCTTCTGTATGACACATTGAGGATGGGTTCTTCTCGTGACACCAGGTCATCCATAAACCAGCAGTTTTTATTTTTAGAAACCCCCGTTGCAGAGCAGCGAGATCACGTGATACTACAACAGCCCCACTCCCAGTGAACGCACTGCTGGAACAGTTGATCTTCCACAGACCCGCATTAGCTGGCTCAGCGCCGCATATGCGCAGAGAAATCTATTTTTGGGATGACTTCAAAATGGCCTTTCCCCTCAGCAGCACATTCATTTTCGCTTCCGTACACTGCAATGGCACCGCGAATTGTTTCACTGTTAAAACATGCCACCGGAAGTCACATTTTTCCTAAAAAACACAAGACTTATCAAGTACGTGAAAAAACTGAAATACATTCTGTCCGGCTAAGATTGATCTGGTTTGCGCAACCAGATCTCTGAGCTTCAGTGATCTTTGAGCTCCGTCTCTGCAACTTCAATGTAGATGGGTTACGTAATAAAGTATAGACACAATGTACTGTAGTTGTATCGACAATAAAGGTAACGGGTATCTTAAAGGGTACTCATGTAACTCACTGAATAACAAGTTAAAAGACTGAAATAAATCCTAACTATCCGTTTAGTTCAGTTTAAGTTAGCTAGCTATCCTGTACGTCCTAGCTTTTCAGAATAAAAGTGGTGACTAACAACAGGCTAACACACGTGAACATGTTTTTTGTCAAATACAGCATCCGCTTCGGTGCTATGTTGTGCCTAAACGAAAAAGTATTTGTTTCAACGGAATTTTCCACCGGTATGCAAATCTTGCGACCCTTCACTGTGTCTGTTACAGGCAATCAAAAGTCGGAGTCACACTGACTCAGCTAGTTACGCTTCTTCAACGTCGTTAGCCGTCACTGAGCCGACGCTTCTATGGCCAACGTAAACGCTTTTGTTCTGCGAGGACAAAACTTTCAGAGATATTTTCTGTTTGTTTGTTTTTCAGGCAGACTATCTTTGTACAAAAAATGCTGCTACACAGAAAGCTAGCTGGTACACATTATATATTATCTAACATTAACCAAACAGCAGGCCATTCGAGTCCCCGAGCTCACCAGTTGGTCATGTCCAGAAAGAAGGCGCATCCTGCGGGGTTTAGCTGAAACCCAAGAAGTCTCTGAAATTCTGATATGAGGATATCTTTGTCTGTTGTACCCATGCAGCTGAATTTCTGCATGAGCTCCTGGTCCAGGTCCATGCCCTCCATTACGGGATTCGCCCGGATAAACACGGGGGTTGGCTCCTAATTTAGTCCGAGGCCTCGACTTATCATAACAAACTCGGTAACAGGGTCGAGTGCGCATGTCACCTGATTGCATCCTGAGCCTCCGTGACTGAAAAATGTGGACGCTAATTAAAACATCTTCTACGCGTATACAACAGTAATTAACTGGCAGATTAATTAAAATACCAATAATAATAATTCACAAATAAATAATAAATTATTCACTAATGTCTGTGAAGGTTCTCAGTCATCCAGGTCATCGTAGTCAAAGGAGCTTGCAAAGAAAAGCGTCTGGACTTCTTTTTCACTAATAATAATGATAAGAAGAAGAAGAAAAGAACAACCTAAGGAATATCACTTAAAGTATATATAACAATGTATCGTTTATTTATTGTAGAAAAGGTCATAGTTTTAAGCAAAACGATATTCTTGGTGATACTTGAAGTACTAGCAGTGGGACTATGCAGTTAGACTGTAAAATAAACACCCGTAGACAAAAACAAAAAAACCAAAACACCCCCCCGCCCCGCAAGCAAACAGCACACTGTAGATCGTATTTTGTACATGGACCCCTAAACAAAGAAACAATGTCAATATTGAAATATAACCCAGCTCCAATTTCCATGTAAATAGTTTTTTACAAATATAACACAATTTTAAATGAGTGTTTCCCAAAGTTCCACTGGGGCTACTGTTGAACGCAAGGGGATGGATACATATCTGATGGTGCCATGGGTGGTGCCATACAACTGTTTTAGAAGACAAGAGGACAAAGAAATGACTAAATTAAATTTGACAGTGAAATGAGGAAGTCGGGGACCAGTCCTCATATTACCTAACACCCAATGTGCCTTGTATTACTTTGCCTTATTTGTGCATATCAGTAAGCTGTCAGGAAAAACATTATGACATTTCCCAGTAGAAAAGCACTGTTATCACAGTGGTCTTGTTGAAAGGAAAGAGAGCCATTGTTTAGGTACAAGATAAAAATGCAATATCCACTGTAATAGTTGTACGAGGTCATATCCTTCAGTATTAACATTCTGCCTAGTTGAAGTTTTGTTTTAAAATATATATGCAGTTACTATAATGCCATATTTTTAAATGATTTTTTTAAACTTCAAAATCTGTGTTTAAAGGTTTTAAATATATATGAATACATATAAAATGTAAGCTTGTGTGTTAACAAGTAACACATAACGTCAAAGCAATACCAGTCGCTCACTGTGATATTTATTTCTAGTTTAATTCAATATTTTGTGGGATCGTTCAGCCTCAGTTCAAAGCCACTTGTCTTCCCACTTCCCTTGAATATCCAGCAGAGGGCAGCATTGTGTCATTGGCGCAGGTTGCGATTTCTCGTTAAAGTTGTTTTTAGTGCGCGTGCGTGTGAGAGAAAAGGAGGTTAGCTTCTGTGCGGTGTTTAGCGGCTAGCCTGTGCTGTGCCGTGCTGTGCCAGCAGCGGCTAAGAAGATGCACACAGCTAGTGCTGTGTACAATATAGAGGTGCCTGCGAGCTAACATATGTTTATATATGTAGGAAAACTGCCGACGCCTTTCGACACTAACGCTCGCCGAAATGGCTGGGATTATTAAAAAGCAAATCCTGAAACATTTGTCAAGGTAAGTGTCAGGTTCGGGTTAGTGTTAGCCAGTTAGCCCAGCTGTATTGTTGCAACGTTACTGCTCACAACCACAGCAAAGGTTAGTTGGCTGCGATTTGTCATCTGCATGTAGTCAGAGTAATTTGATGTCCACGTTGGTTTAGTGCTCCACATTGAAGCAGCGACTTGCAAATAACGGTTAGAAAGTGTAAAGAGGCAGTGAACGACACAGGATGCCAATCTACTTTCCCAGTCATGTGTATGTTATTTACAGGGTTATAGACTACATACTGTCTTGCTTTTTAAACGGTTATGTCCATGCTATAGCGTTCACTGGGGTGAAAATATAATGGTAACACAGATTTGACAAAATTCACTCGATCTACAGTTAATGAATGTCTGTATTTTATTCATACAGGGGTCAGGAATGAGGTTTTGACAGTTATTTAAAAGAAAAAAAATTCATATTGAATGGGTTTATTGTCAGTGCATGAATAAATCTCATCTTCACGGCATAAAAAGCATGGGAAAGGGAAAGCAAAGCTCTAAATCGGCAATGTTATGGTGGAAGTACACGTCATTTTATCTATCTTTGTCCTGCAGACATATTTATCAGGATGATAAAAAGCATGTCTGTCCTAAGCCGTAATAAATGAATGAATTGTTGTTATCAGTCCATGTTTGCTATTAGAGTTGTCAGGAATATCCCTGTCTCAGACGTCACCTTATTTTCAGACTTAATAACAATGTATTCTTTACATCTGACCTGATTATACTTCCTCAGGAGACAGCCTCCGATTTTGTGATGCACAGTCAACTTTTTTTAGGTGGTGGTGTTGGAGAATGTGTTCTCAGCTATTGCTTAACAACTGCTTACAGTTGTTAAGAAATGAATTTGGGTGGGAGAGCAATGAAGAAATGTGTATAAAAGGTCTCAAAAGCTAAATGGGATAAAGAGTAAAGTTGATGAGCCTGGACAGTGGATGTCTGCTCAGTTAGAGGCTTTGCATTTGACTAACAGCTGTTCTCCTTGTTGTTGTCTCTGTCACTAAACAATTAAAGCAAAATTTGCAGAAGAAAGAAGAGTGGACATCAAAGGTTGACATGCAAGCACATTCTCAGCTTGCCATAGCTTGTTCTATGATAGCAAATAATCCAATCATCTCTTCAATTTCATCTTTTCATCTTGCTGTTGATATAAATCACTTAAAACCTCACAGTGGTGGCCCATGGGAACGTTATATGCTCCTGGCAATCACGAAAATAAGGCACTTCTGTACATTTCATCCATAGTCATCAGTTTCAGACTATTTTGTTGTAGCCATGAAAGCAGACTAAACCATCTGAATATTAACAAATACAGCTGGTGTCAAGAAGTGTAAAAGCCACTTAACTAATAATTAAAAAGCCATAAATGGGAAAAGGCAATTACTAACACAAACCACTATTTGCTAAATGTGTTTGCTTTGTGCAGCTCTTAACTAAGAGTTGTCAACACTTTGAAAACCCATGTTTTAAAGCATTTTCAATGTTTTTTTCTGTAGTTCACTAAGATTTTTAATTTTTCCTTGTGAGTATCTGACTCAGTAAAGCACTTATCCTGTAACATCGTGGTCATTTCATAAATGGTCAAATCATATTCTGCTTACTTTGCATTCAAGGTAATGACAAGAAGTTAAACATGCATAACAAGCATATAATTGATTAAACTTGACTTCCTCAGCCAGATTGAAGTTAACCATTTAGTTAACTGTGAACTACATTGTTTATTGTTTAACCAATTTAGTATTCTGTAACTGTACAGCTAAGCAGTTGGGCTTTTGGATAAGTATGAACAACCCTGAAGAACTTTGGACTGTCATTTCAAAGTTGTATTGTATTTTCAGCCATATGAAGTAGGTGTACGCCCCAGGCTTGACTCACTGATGTCTGTTGGGGTTAATGTGAAAAGCAGCAGAGCGGGTTTTTTCTGCAATAGATAATGAGCCATTATTTTGTTGCTTCATATAAAAAAGAAGCTGGAGCTCACTGGCTTCTCACGTTTATCAGGAAAAGCATGTTATCAGATGATGCTAAGTTTTATAGTTTAAAGAACATCCTGAACTGTGAGCTACAATCTGTAGCTCTAATCAAATGACACTTAATCCTCATTTTAAGCAATGTCTCACAGCTGATAATTGAAACGTCACACACATTTTTCAGAGTGGTGTTTCAGCCATGTAATGTAGGTGGAAAAAACCCAAAAACAAATCAATATTCCAGTTTTCTGCTATTTCTGCTACATTTACCCTGAGTTGGTTGAATTTTTATTCTTGGCTTTTGGAGCTTGCTACCTTAGACCCTTTGAAGAGGGTGCTCTAGATGGGAGTGCAGCTGGAGGACTTTATTAAGAATGCTGGTGCCTCTCAGGATGAGTCATCCAGTTGCACTACTTCAAAAGCATCTTGCCTCCATATTTGCATTATTCAATTTGAGGTATTTCTGTCTCACAGATCATCAGTGGCATATGCTGGTGTTTCCTAGATGTATCGTATTTAAACTTTTTCCAGTTTTATTCTGTATGTATTCACTCTGAAACATTATATTTGAACTGGTTTGTTTAGGTTTACGAAGAATCTGTCCCCGGACAAAATCAATCTGAGTACTCTAAAGGGGGAGGGGCAGTTGTCCAACCTCGAGCTTGATGAAGAGGTTCTGCAGAACATGCTTGACCTGCCTACATGGCTGGCTGTAACCCGGGTCTACTGCAACAAGGCTGCCATCAGGGTATGTTAATATTGATCCCTGTAAATGGTCTAACAGTTGATGTGCTTTTCAAAGAAGACTATAGAAGAACAAACCTGTCACACATCGGATACGTACATCATGTGTTTGTCTCATAGTTCTTTTTTTTTTTTTTTTAATTCAACAAAAGTATATGGTGTTTATTAGTGTCTCAGAAATAGATTTTACCATTCATAGTCCACTGAATCTTAGAGGAAATGAGCAGTGGCAGAACCACAAAGATGAGCACTACTAGAGGCACTGCTGTGAATGTTGTGACCCTTCAAACCATTACTGTTTGTTGATAATAGACAGGCAAGCCATGATTCACAGGGACACCAAAGCCTGCAGGCTAGAGTGATCCTGAGATACAGTAGCTAGTGTATATTTAGCTCTCAGGATGTCGGATTTGTATTTCCAAAAAATCCAAACAACCTTCAAGTGGAATGGCAGTTTCTCTTGAAAAATCTTATCTTATCTGAAATATCTTAACACATATTTTAAAAAATTACTTAATGAATGCCTTTGCAAATAAATATTTACAATGAGCTCACCCAGCTGACTCTGGGTGATAACGTCTCTTTTCCTCAGCTATTTGCTGACATTTACTTATTTAGTTTTATCAAATTGTCTTACTGTCAAAAATGCACCAGACCCAACCTTGCAGCCCACACAAATATGAAGAATGTCTGCACCATTGAGCAAAGAATTATTAT